AAAAAAAAAAAAAAAACTTATTGCCGTCAAGTCAGATCTAAATCATAGCTATCCCTCCTTGGGTTTCTAAGGTGATATCACTACAGAAGTAAATTGCCCAACCTTCCTTCCGAGGAGTAGCTAGTGGGTTTTAACCACCAACCTTCTGGTTAGCAGTCAAATGCTTTAGGCACTATGCTACCAGAGCTCCTTAAATACTGCCACTTGGATTGAAATGTAAATTTTTCAACACTGGCAAAAAGTCATTGCAAAAGAATACAGTGGCATTACTGTAACACTCTTAGCAAGAATGTTCAAGCAATTCCTGGAACCAAATAACTAGAGATTTTAGGAAGCAGAAAATATACACATTACATTTTTGTAAATTATCTAACCCCATATTGCTGAAATGCATTTATGTCTTTTCTAGATGTCACATCTACACATTTATGAGAATTACATCATTGATTTTTTTCTTTATGATCTAGTTATTCAAATCAATGACAAACTGTGTTGCATATTTCAAATTGGTTTCATAAAATCATTATATTATACCTAATTTAATGTCCTTGAAAGCTTAGTAGCCAAAGTATTGGAAAAAACAAAATTTAATTGCAAACTTAATAATCTATAATATGGAAGTAAAATTATTTATCATGAAAGCCACATCTTGATATCACTATGTTTTTATAAATTAATGATAGAATAGGAAAGATTATTAGTTGACTACAATACCAAGTTTGACTATATAAAGTATATAATTGCAGAATTAGTAAAGGTCCTTCAATGAAGAAGAAAACTCCCAAAGGAAGTATAAGCAAAAAAAAGGTTGCCACAGTTGTTGTTAATGCTTATTGTTACATATAAAGGCATCTTTTTCAAGCTTGTAATAGCTCCTTATTTGATACTCAGCAGATTTTTATTCCTCTGGTAAGTTTTTGATTAGGTACAACACTAAGAGGGTATAGCTATAGATGAGTCTAAATCTTAAGACAGAGAGGACCTGAGAATACAATTACTCATAAAGTTTTTATGGCTGTATTTCTTTCTCTAAGAAGTTACAAAGTTTTGCAGAAAATACTGTTAAGACATAACTTGTGCCATGGCTGATTTCAAGCTCACATCATGATATTAAAGGATGCTGAGCCTGGAAATGACATGCATAACTGGTTCTCAGGTGCCAATACAAGTCAGTCTCATCAAAACTCTGCATGAAAGAGAGAAAAGTAGTTGACAGAAGCTTAAATTTTGTGTCTGCCTTCTCTGAGAGTTGGAATTGTAAAATACTGGTTACTTCAGATTTTTGAACACATTTAAAGCCATGCTTAAGAATTTACAGTTAATTTTATTGAGTTATTGAAATAGTTTGGCTGAGAGAAGAAAAGGTAGGATGAAGATGTCTATTTCGGAGAGAATTGTTAAGAGCAGAACATAGGTTGGAGGCCAGATGTCTAGATATAGAGGGCATTTAATAAATCTGAGACATGCCTGGATAAAAAGTATTAAAGAAGAAGAGGAAGAAGAGAGTCAGAGTGGGAATGGGGAGAAGTGAAAGACATTTTGAAGGGAAAAAGGTGACATGTTTGGGGTCTAAAGGATTGATGTAATAATGGAGACAACAAACTCAAAAGTCATTGAATTTTTGGATTTAGAGTTAATGGAAAATTAAGGAATATAAAGGTAGAAATAAAGAAGAAGAAAGGACACATTTATGGTATTCAAATAGTGATGTCCTTAAATGGTATTAGTTAGTTGAGAGAAATCTGTACAAAGACAAGAGAAAGGAATATGGATCTAGATTTTGAGGATACCACCCTTTCGTTATGAGTTCTGGTAGCACAATGCCTAAGTCATTTGACTGCTAACCAGAAGGCTGGCAGTTCAAACCCACCAGCCACTCCTTGGAAGGAAGGTTGGGCAATTTTTCTTCCACAGTGATACCACCGGAAACCCAAGGAGGGGTCAATATGAGTTAGGTCTGACTCGAGGGCACACAACAACAACAACAACAACACAACAACTCTTTTGTTAATGCAAGAAGGGAAAAGAATAAATATCAGTAAGATAAAAAAGAGAAAGAATACATTAAACTTCAGGAATATGCAGAGGAAAAGAGCATTACAAGAGAAATAATGGACATTTGGTATAGAAAATATTCATAATAATAATTACTCTGGAATAGAGAAATTATTTGAATATGGTAAATTCTAGCCCTAACATTTACTAGCTGAAATATCTTGGGCAAGTAACTTTACTTTCTAACCTTCATATTTCTCATCTATGAAACCAATATATAATAAAACATCTATTTTGGAGGATAAAATATGATAAAGCAGTGACTGCTTGTCAAGGATTTCCTTTTACTTGGAACCATAATCCACACCCATAGAAGAAATCAAATAAAATATTACACTGGATAAATAGGTTGCAAAATACTTCTTTAAAATTTTGAAAAGCAATGATTCCATCTCAAGGACTAAGGTGGACCTGACCCAAGTCATGGCATTTTCAATTGCCTCATACACATGTAAAAGCTGGACAATTAACAAGGAAGACCAAAGAATAATTGATGCATTTGATTTATGATGTTGATAAAGAATACTGAATATACAATGGACTGCTAGAATAACAAACAAATCTAAGTACAGCCGTAATGCTCCTTAGAAGCAAGGATGCTCAGATTTTTCTCTCATGTATTTTGGCTATCAGGAATGACCGCTCTATGGAAAAGGGCATAATGCTTGGCAAAGTAGAGGGTCAGTGAAAAAAGAAGACGACGACTCCCAATGAGGTGAATTGGCTGCCAAAATGAGCTCAAACATAACACTGATGGTGAGGAATGGTTGGACCAGGCAGTGTTTTGTTCTGTTGTATTCAGGGTCACCAGGCATAGAAACTGACTTGGCGACACCTAAAAACAATAGCAACTGGTACCACATAATAAGCCATTAGTAGATGCTACCTAGTATACTAACCAGAAGGCTGGCGGTTCAAACCCACCAGCCACTCCTCAGAAGGAAGGTTGGGCACTCTATTTCCACAGTGACACTGCCTCAGAAACCCAAGGAGGGGTCATTATGAGTCAGGTCCAACTCGATGGCACGTAACAATGACAACAACAGCTAGTAATAGCAGCAGCAGTAGTAGTACTAGTAGTAGTATCCCATTCTAAAATTTCTTTTATTACCAGGAAGTTCCCATGAGACTATATTTAACAGAAAAAAATTAAAATATAGGAAAGTTTACATTGAATGCCATAGGTTAAAATAAAAGCATACTACAGAAAATAAAACTATACCATATGATAATTTACAGTTCAGGCTGTAAATCAGTATAGTTAATGGTTGGATTAAATACCACAGATGGATTTGAGTCTTAACTCATCAAACACTATTGATATTACCGTTTGAAAATTAAACTGTTGGATCTTTGCTTGTTGAGTTTTTGTATATATTATTTCAATGGGTTATTATGAGAATAGAATGGTATGATCAAAGTAAACTCTCAAAACCAAACTCAATGTCATTGAGTTGATTCCAACTCATAGTGACCCCCATTGGGTTTCATCTTTCCTTCCATGGAGTAGCTCATGGGTTTGAACATCCAACTTTCTGGTTTAGCAGTCAAATGCCTTAGGCACTGTTCCACAAGAACTCTTGGTCAAATAAATGCTTAGCATATTTGCTGGTAGTACATTAAGACATCAATGAATGTTAATTATGCCTATAGTTTTTTGAACCTAAGATGAGTTTTTCTTAGGAAAATCAAATTTTAAGAGACAAAGTATACTCTCTCTTAAAGTCATTAGAGCCATGAAATAATATTCTCAGAATGGCTAAATATTCCAGGGCTTCAGATTATCCACCAAATTATGATTTGTGATTAGAATAATACATTCATTTAGGTTCAGCTTATTTCAAAGTCCTTTGAAAGTTGAAAAGTTCTTAAAGATCCATATTGAATTATCTAAGGGTGTTTGTATTTATTAATGAGAAAAGGATTAAAAAGGAACCCAGTATGGGAAGGCAAATCAAGAAGGACATTTAAAATGTATATAGAATATTATAATACTATGATAAGTGGAGATAAAAATATGTAGAAGTCTATAATGTTTAAGACATGGAATGAAGAAAAATTGCAATATCTGAGGGATAGATATAAACTTACTATTGATTTTATATAATGTACAACCATGATTTCTTATATAATATATAGCATTACTTTTGGAAACAGAGTGAACTGACATAGTATAACTCAGCATAAAATATTCTTTTCCTTTAAATTGTGAATTTATAATATCAGCTCTGAATTCATTTACTTAATATAGATGTCAATTCACAAGCACATGATCATTGTACATACCTCTGCAAAATGGAGCTGGAAAATCCCATGATGCACCATTCCCAGGACTAACAATGCAGGTCAGAATGGCATGTCCTTCCAGGATGTAACCAGAGAGACAGCTGTATCGGATTTTGTCTCCTATGTTGAATCTTGTTCCGTGGAGGACTCCTTTCAATATCTCCCCAGGATTTCCACATGTGTGGCTAGGTAAAACTATTTAAAGAAGAAAGGAGAAAACAATAAGAATTAAAGCAAATAATTTTTTTAATCAAAATCGATTTATTTCACAAAACCAAAACAAACCAAACATACTGCCATTGAGTCAAATCCGACTCATAGGGACCCTTCCTTGGGTTTCCGAGGCAGTATCACTAAGGAAGTAGATTACCTAATCTTCCTTCCGAGGAGTGGCTGGTGGGTTTGAACCACCGGGTTTCTGGTTAGCAGTCTAATGCCTTAGGCAGTTCACCACCAATGTTAATTATAAAATTAGCCAAACTCTAGCATAAAATATTTCAATTTTTGTTGAAAAAATAGAGAAAATATCTTCATATTTTATGAAGTATAATACTTTCATAAAGGTTATGCAAAAGCATAGATGAATGTCCACTCTTAAGGAAAAAAAGGCAGTTCTCTTAGATTCAGTATCCTACACCATAACTAAATTATTTGTCTACTTACAACATTCAACATTCTCATATAGTTAGAAACCAGATCAAACAGTAGGATAGAAATATCTGAGAACGTGATATAAGGAATACATGAATTTCTTATACCATAATTCTTATGCCATATTTATCCATGTTCTTTTAGGATTAGGACAGTGCCTGGTATACAACACCAATATTACAAATACAACACTAATATCAGTGTTTGATTGATAAAGAACTGAATTAAAGAATAAAGAGACGCTACATTCATTAACCCAATAAAACCAAAACCAAATCAAACTCATTGCCGTCGAATAGGATCTGATTCATAACAACCCCTCTTTGGGTTTCCAAGGTGGTGTCGCTACAGAAGTATATTGTCCATTCTTCCTTCTGAGGAGTGGCTGGTGGGTTTGAACAGCCAGCCTTTTGGTTAGCAGTTAAATGCCTTAGGCACTACACCACCAGAGCTCCCCATTAACCCAATAGGCTTTTTTAAAAATTGTGTCACTATTATATTTCAGGCCTTCTACTAAGCCTCATACATTTATAGTACCTGAGTTACAACCAAATTTCAATGATCGTTTTTGACATTTTAACTACTGTTTCATTTAATTTCAATCATACAGCTTTGATTCAATTCTTTCTTGACCTTTTTACTTTTTACATTTGTATCATTCTCTATCTCTTTCAATTGCCTTAAAATCTAATCAATGTGATGACATTTTCTACTTATAGACCATGATTTTGAACCTAATTAATACACCATTCAGTTGAATGGTTGAAGGTCATTAATATTAGCTATTATCTCTATATTTCTGTCTTAAATTCAGCATGGTATTAATAGTGTGATAAGCCAAGTACTTACAATTAACAAAAACATTTTAAAATAAAAAATGTTTCAAAATAAGCAAACTTAATTTTCTTAATGTTTGGATTCATATTTTCTCTGGGTACAGAGGTGTATTTTCTGTTCACGTATAGTAAAGGGCAATTTTCTGTGCTTGTTTTATTTTTTAAAACGTTTTATTGTGATTTGAGTGACTTTTAACAAAGCAGATTAGTTTTACATTCAACTGTTCATATACATTTTGTTTTGTGATGTTGATTACAATTCTCACAATTTATAGCTGTCTTCCCTCTGTGTAGATTGCTTCCCCAGTGAAGAGAATTTCCCATTGAAGGAAACCTCAGTGATTACTGCAATTATTTTTATCATAACATCATCCAAATATGGACAAACCAAACTGTTTGCAAACACTAACAAAAATTAGATATATCATATTATTGACATATTTATGAAGTCACTATTTACATAGTCAATATATCCTTAGTTCAAATTTTTAAAAACTAATTTCTGAAATCAGTGTAGAAAAAAACTAAGTGTTTGATAACACAACAGAAATAATTCAATATAGTCTACTTTTTTTTCCATCTTATTTAAAAAGGAAATGCTGTGTTTAATTCTACATTTTCTATCCCTAAGGGAATAAGTAAGGAGCTCTGGTGGCATAGTGGTCAAAGCATTCAGCTACTAACCAAAAGTTTGGTGGTTTGAACCTGCCGGTCACTTTGTAGAAACAAGATGTGGCAATCTGGTTCTGTAAAGACATACAGTTTGGAAACAATATGGTGCAGTTCTATTAGTCAGAATCAATTTCAGGGCAGTGGATGGGAATGGCAATAACTCTTAAAATATGTTGTTTTATAGTTTATTTAAAAATGACATTTTATTTAATCAAACCAAAAAAAAAAAAAAAAAAAAAACCTCACTGCCAAGGAGTCAGATCTGACTCATAGTGACCTCTCTTTGGGTTTCTGAGGCATTATCACTATGGAAGTAGATTGCCCATTTTCCTGTCAAGGAGTGGCTGGTGGCATTACACCACCAGAGCTCCCTTTTACTTAATATGTCTTTCTAATTTAGAAAAAGTTTAAGTTCTATCATATTGCAGAGAGGAGCATCTGAGTTAAGACTCAGGATACTTGTCAGTTAGGATGAGCTGAATTTTGACCAAAAGTATATGCTGAATATCAATCATGAAGAGAGAAAGAGGGAAAAATAGGAAACAAAATTTTCTTTGGTGTTTTTTATTCTTGTCTGGGAATCTTCAGAATTAAAAATCTTTCTAATTTCTCATTACTATTTATAGTACTTCTTATTAGAAGGTAAACCTCCACCACCTATACTATTAGAATGTGTCATGGTCAATACTTTCCCAAAGAAAAGAGTATCAGTGTAATTTTATCAAATATTTAAAAACCTCCTAAAGATCACCACAAGATAAGATAACTGGAAAAATAATTTGAACCGTTCTGAAAATTGAAACTATATTGTCGAATTTTTTTTTTTTATCTATTTCTTGTTGAAAATAGAAATGCATTACTTTTAATGATTAACTTTAACTCAAACATTACAATCAACTGTAGTACAGAAAGAGCAACATAACAATAATGGACAATGATACACAAATCCATACATAAATTGATCACAAAAGGATGTTGCTGCATGGACAAACTTCAGATTACATTATTTGCAGTATTTAAATACATTCAAATAAATGTAAAGCAAAACCAAACTGAAGCACTGGACTGTGCAATGGTAATGTGGGGAACTGTAGAAATGTACAGCCTTCAAGCTTTTGGGATAAAACAAAAAATCATCCCTGAAAACAAGGGTGTCTTCAAATGAGGCTCTAAAAATAAATGTCTAGTAATATCTTTTAAAACTTTTAACAGAGTTAGATGGAACATGGAACATTTGGATACAAAAACAACTGTTAAAATTCAGAGAGAAGAATTCCTCTCCTTTATTTTCATCAAGTTAGGGAAGCTACGTATTATAGAAAAAAACTTAGTTCAGATTTAGAAAGTAGTGCATATCAAAGGAAAAATAGCAACAAATGGAGAGTCTTTTACATCATTACATTACTGCCAAATCACTGAGAATCAGGGACTCACCAAGTTGACACATATTTTTTGGGGACACAATTAAATCCATGATATTCCATCCTTAGCCCCACCCCTCCAAAAAAAAATCATTTTCTTGTCATATGCAAAACATCGTATCATTTCAAAAGTCTTAAATCAACTCCAAGTTCAAATTCCATCCTGGGGTAAAATTCCTCTACATATGTGAACCTGTGAAATCTAGAGTATAAGTTATCTGCTTCCAAAGTATGAAGGTGAGATAGGCACAAGATCAAAATTTCTATTACACATTGGAGAGATTGGAGGGAAAGAAGGAATAAAGGGAACCACACAAGTCAAAAGCCCAGCAGAACAATTTACATTTGCTCTCAAGGCTTGAAAACAATCCTTGGTTCTCTGAAACCATCCACGCAGTGGCCCTGCCATCCAGACTCCAATTGTTGGCCCTGATTTCTGGATTCTGGGTGGAGGTTCATTGAACCTGGGCTTCAGCTCTGTCTTCCAGGACCATGAGGATAACAACTCTGTTCCCTCAGCTTTGGGCAGCCCCATCCTACAAATCCAGTTGAGTGGCACCTCACCCCCTTGGATCTTGCAGGCCCCAGTCTTCTGGCCTTTGGGAATGGCAACCCTGCCCCCTCATCTTTGGGCAGCACCTCTGACTCCATCCTTCTGGCACTCATCAATGGCAGCCCTATACTCTAGAATTGAGTTGGTGAAGATCCAACTCTTTGAAACCTAGGAGGCTATAGTTCCATCATTTGATACCCAGAGGTCATGGACTGTCATGTGAGGCAGCTCTGATTCCCCTGCTCCTTGTCTCTTTAGCTTTTGCTTCCCGGTTCCTAGGTCTCTCAGCCTCTTGGCCCCTTAGACCTCTTAAGCTCTACCAATAAATGCCTGATAGCATCTCACCTCACCACAGCTTCTTGACCAAAGGCATTCAGCTTTTTTCACTCCATGGGTCAGCTCACAGAACACCTTCTGCCACTCTTCTGCTTCTGCTACTGCCATCTCTCTGCCACTGCTTCTCATTACCTTGTCCCTTTTTTGGTGTTACAGCTCTCACTTTCTTCTAAGCCCTCATCAGAATTGCCTTTGGCATACATAATTCCACCAAGAGTCTCTTCAAGACAATCTAGGCTTTTCCATTGGAAAACAAAACAAAACAACACTGCTATCAAGTAGATTCCAACTCATAGCGACCTCATTGGGCTCCCAAGGCAGTAAGTCTTGACGGACGTAGATTACCTTACCTTCCTTCTGCAGAGCAGCTAATGGGTTTGAACCACCAACCTTCTGGTTAGCAGTTAGATGCCCTAGGCACTGAGCCACCAGAGTTCCTATCAGGCACATTGAAACTCTTCAGGCCTCTATCCATTACCCA